ATTGTATTTAAAATACCAAATACTTTTTTGAGGTGTATTTGGAATACAAAATACTTTCATGGGGTGTATTTAAAATACAAAATACAAATACAAATTACAAAATACTTTATTAATATACCTGTCGCGTCATGTGGAAAACAACAATTTCCTTCAAAGTTTTTTCTTTCCACAACACATTTCTTGTAAAAGAAGTTTTAAATTATTATTTTTACTGAAATTACAATTAACAAAACCCAATTCCCAAATTATTACAGGTGTAAAGTAATAAAAAAAATATACGAGATCAAGTGTACAAAGCGTGGGTGTGTGTGGTGCTTTTGTGTTGAGTGAGCGCTATTGGCTATCTCAATCAAATCTAATTTACTTGCTAAATCGCGCACGCTTATTTCAATTTTATCGCGCGTCTCGCGACTATCATGCGTACATGCTACGAGGACTGTAGTGAAAATAAGGTAGTAAGGGCTGTAGTGAAAATAAGGTAGTATTCAATTATTCAAAAAAAGAATTCCTTTTCACGAAAACTCGGCTTTTGAAAGTACTATTAGATAAATATCCTCTCGTCGGAGAATGTATAAGCCCTCCTAAAGAGAATAATTGCTTTCAAACCACCTTTGATGGTAGCTTTACATTGAATACATGTCGCTTGGACGTTGTTTTGGTCGTCGTTGTTATTAGCGGTAGGTACCGCTCGCTACCAGACACTGTGAAATACTTTTCAATCAAAATTAGTGGATACACAACAGACGTAGATGGTAGTTGCACCGTCGTTCTTTATGTCTGTTAGGCTCTGCTTCGATTATCACAAATAGCATTGAATTGAACAGCAGTTAAAACTAGAAAATAACTGTTAAACCAATCAATACAACCATACTACAGAGCACGTAGTACGTACAATTATTATTAATATTCCATACAAGACGAATACTTCATGTACGTGTAAATGTCTTTCATAACACGTTCACAACACAAACACAAGTTCTGCCCTCGGAACGAAAAAAAGCACAACTGCTGTGTGAACTGTGTGTACGCATAGTTGTGCCTTATTTCGTTGCGAGGGCAGAATTAGAAAGATAGTTCGCAAAAATCGCAAATGCTTATTAGCTTTAATTTACTAATACAAAGATCGAACACAAAGAAAAATACCTTCGACCCGACAAGACTCGGACCTGGGACAACCGGAATTCCGTCCCCTCCTCTTCCAACTGAGCTACAGGTCGATAAACATCTTATATGTGTTTTTTTTTAATACTTAGTGACGGAACGAAGAAGTCCTTAACAGTTGCAGTACCACTCATAGTTTAAATCACAAAGATCTGAAGGGCACAGCCACTATGCCCGACACCCTGAGACATAAGTTAACAAGTCCCATGTGCCTGTAATTTCACCAACACCCTTGCCCATCGAAACCGTAACGCAGTAATGTTCATATTACAGCTTGGCGGCAGAAATAGGTAAGGTGGCAGTACATCCTTGGACAAACTTTTTCTACTGCTACTAAATCTTTTCCTACTAATTCTTTTATGTGTCTATTTAGATCCTTTTATTAAGTGTTCTTGGCTTCCGACGCCTTATTAGCACAGTAGTGCACGCAAATCGGAAATTACACTTGAATGTTAAAAGTTGTCGCCGATTCAGGTACTCAACCATGTGTTGAGTTTTTTTCATTTTTATTGAATTTATATTCAATTATTTTTATGAAATTACTCCACTAGTTCGTTATAATTATTAATACAAAGATCGAACACTCAGAAAAAATTCCTTCGATCCGGCCGGATTCGAACCGACGTCTTCTATCACACCGTGCCAGACGGCGGACCTCAAGAATTTTTCTATGTGCTTGTTATCGTGTCTTTGTATTTGGTTTTTCAACGATTTTTTAGTCGTAGCGCCATCTATATATTGAGTTCTCAAGAGGAATAATCATGAAACATTTTAGTTTAGTTTGGTGAACTGGAAGTTATATTTTTCTCGAACGTGCTCGGAAATATTTGCATTACTTTCAAAAAACGAACAAGGAAAGTTTGTCATTTATGGACCTTGTGACCTCGTCCCTGTCAAGGCCAGCAAAGTAAGTGTTAAGGTGGTTTTCCATCGGCAAGGCGATACAAGGATTGAAATTTGTATGGAAAAATTTCAATTCTCTCTTAGGCTTCTTTGGAAATGGTCTGGTTTGACGAATATGGGCGAGGCGAGAATTGAAATTCGGTTCGGTTTAATAACCGAATTGCTGCCAGCATAGAGTATTATAGTCTTTAACGGGAACACGATTTCTCGCACGCGATCTCGCGCGAACTCGCGATGGCTATTAATGGCCAAATTGTGGGGTACATGTGATTTAAAAAAGATGGTTTCATCTGATTCTTCTTCCGTTAACATATTTAATATTAATAATTTACGAATTATTGTTATTAAATATGTTAACGGACACGTTACTTACTTCAGCCGCATATTTATCGCTAGATGAACAGAACAGCAATGAATCTTAACTATCCACAATCGTAACGCGAGAGAGCGATGGATCGCGCTAGCTATTAATGGCAATTTTTTGGTGCAAGTAAGCCGGCGAGATTTCAATTCTCGTCTCTCCTTTTCTCGTCTCACCTCGATGGTAGAAAACTACCATGTCCACTTCTCTAAACTTTTTAATCTACCTACTAATAAAGAACTACGTAAACAAGCTAAAGGAAAACACATACGCCAACTGCCAAGTGTTCATAATTCTCGCGACTTAAAAGTACCTTACCTATACTGCTTACATTAAAAAAAAATTACGGTAACGTAAACTATTGTTTTGGGGTTATTTTGTTTTTTCGTCTTTTTTAAATTTTTGGTGAAAAATCGAGAAGAGCGATAACGAAAATACGGTAATGGTAATACATTTAACCACAAAACCTGATAATACATATCGAGTTCTTAGGTTTTCGCGATTGTTACACATAGGAAATGAAACTATTTTTCCTGATAATACTTTCTTTTAGCAGTTGTCCTTACATTTCAAATATTACTTCTAATATTTTTTTTCTGTTACATCTCTTCTTCTCTTTAATCTTTTATTATTTCCTCACATATGTAGTTTGAGTAAAGTACTATACGTGCCTCGACAGGAACGGGATTGCTTGACTCGTATTAATACAAGGCCTCGCTAGCGCTCGTAACTCATACTCGTCCAGGAATCGCTTACGGGAAGTAAGGGAAGGTTCACTGCAATAATGTACTATTACATGTTTGTACTTTGTAAAAGCATTAATAAGATGGGGTGTAAGGTAAGGAGCGCCACCTACCTACCTACCTACCTACCAACGTACGGTGCTCAATAGTCAACCTCACCTGCACACGATACACCCTGCTCCTATCGACGAGGCTCTGGCGATCCGCCAACATGCAAACCAACCCAACCAAAAAAAGTTTAAGCCCCTCAAATGAATACCACAGAAAATGATTCCCAGTGCCCGGTGGTAGCAACCGCAGCATTGGCAGGCGTCGTGGAAGCTCTGGCACCAGGGGTGGCCCTGGCAACTTTCGTCTCGCTCGCAGATTCGATGAAATTCAGCCCCCCGGACAAGCCGGTTTCCGAAAAGGCTTCAGTATCATAGACCACATCCACACGATGCGGGAGGTTATACAGAAGACCGAGGAGTATAAGCTGCCACTATGCTTAGCGTTTGTGGACTATGAGAAAGCCTTTGACTCGATCGAGATTTGGTTGGTGCTACAGTATCTACAACGGTGACACATTGACTATCGATATATCAAAGTTTTTGTACAAAAACGTTACTATGTCAGTCCCGGACTAGTGCACAAGGCCAATCCAATTGCAAAGAGGGGTGCGACAGGAAGACGTCATTTCTCACTGCATTGGAAGATACTTTCAAGTTACTGCATTGGAAAGGACTCGGCATCAACATCAATGGCGAGTACATCATTCACCTTCAATTTGCTGACGATATCGTGGTCATGGCAGAATCGTTGGATGCTCGGTGACCTCAGTAGAGTTTCCCAGCAGGTAGGTCTAAAAATGAAAATGAACAAGACGAAACTTATGTCGAATGTCATAACAGCTGCTACAACAGTGGGAACCTCTACTCTCGAAGTTGTTGACGAGTATGTCTACGTCGGACAAACCGTCAAATTAGGCAGACCCAGCTTGTAGAAAGAGGTCATTAGTCGAATCCGACTCGGTTGAGCAACTTTCGGGAAGCTCCGGGACGTCTTCTCGGCCGCAATACCGCAGCCCTTGAACACAAAAGTCTTCTAGCAGTGCGTGTTGCCGAAGATGACCTACGGCTCTGAAACGTAGTCACTTACTATGGGCCTTATAAAAAAGCTCAAAGTTACTCAACGAGCTATAGAGCGAGCAATGCTCGGTATTTCTCTACGTGATCGAATCTGAAATGAGGAGATCCGTAGAAAACGAAAGTCACCGACATAGCCCAGAGGATTAGCAAATTGAAGTGGCAGTGGGCAGGGCACATAGCTCGTAGAACTGACGTACGTTAGGGCAGAAAGGTTCTTGAATGGAGATCACGAACTGGAAGGCGTTCAGTGGGACCGCCCCTTACTAGATGGATGGATGACCTGGCAAGGGCGGCGGGTAACCGATGGATGCACTTTGCGTCCGACCGGCTAGTCTGGTAATCTTTGGAGGAGGCCTATGTTCAGAAGTGGACGTCTTCAGGTTGATATGATGATGATTAAAAAGATGTGTGTAGTTGTAGCAGAAAACGACAACATGATAGTCCGTTACACAGGTTTAGTAATATAGTAGATAGCGTACTGTAGAAGATGAAATGATACAATTGCTTCTACGGACTGAAATCCAGAGTCCAGAATTATATAAAAACTGCAAATATTACAATAATATAGTCAAAGACAGTAATGGTGCCATATCCTATTCGGCATAAGTTTAATTTAGGGGAAGTTAAAGCGTCTGGATCACATTTTAATAAGAGGAACTATATTCCTAGAGGATACAACATGATCGATTTTGTTTTGGTACACAGGAGACTTCACCACTGGCTCAAGGTGCTGCTCCTCCAATCCAGCCGCACCCCATTTCCCTGGCGCCACCAAGTTCCGCGGCACAGCTGCGCCAACAGCAAATGCCAACCCAACGACCTCCATTTGCTAAGGAATACTACTTTTTGGACATCGAGCTTCGATATGGACTATTACAGGTAAGACCGTAACGTAGTGTAGCATCAAAAATATATTTTCATAAAAACATGAATATAATATTTTTATGTTAACTGACGAAAATGCATGTCTTGCCTTGTCTTCTTTAATTGTTAGAAGTAAGGTCCAAACCATTCGTCGACGATATTCGAAAATCTTGTCCAGTGCCATAGCGCTCTATTTCCGGAGGTCAGAAGATAGTAATGATGCGAAGACTAAGTGTGGTGTATAGAAAATAAAGGTGGTGCTCTGCGACCCACCCACTCTCGCCATTATGACGCAAGATATCAGTGTTAACAGACGTATTGCCTCCGCACAATACTAAACTTATGTTGTTTTATCGAGGCATCCCGGTACAAAGTGGTGTAGACGTCACAGGAAGCAATCGACGACTGCTTTTTGTAAAATACGGTAAATATTTATCTAAATTGTGGTAATTTTCGTACACCTCCATGGTCTTCGTTTATTTTCAAGCTTGCATTTTAATTACAATGATTTTAGTAGCTGTTTCCTTCTACTGAAAGGTATAATATTCATAGATTATATCAATTAACAAATATATTTACTTTTTTATTTTATTTATTTTATAATGCAACTGACTCCTTCTTGGAATGCGTTACTCGATGATAACAAGGTTGTATAACGAGGTTACATTTCCCCAAAATTCCACTAGGCACACAGTGGGTTGTCCTTTGCCCTGGGCTGTGTAACAAGCAGGTTTACTCTCCTGTCCCGCATGTTTTAGAAAAGAGCAGTATCTACAGTCGATGAGGAAATTGTGTGGACTCAAATCTCATTTAGGGTAGTAACCGCGCGATAAAAAATCGTTAATAGGGTCCGGTTAGGTAACTATGGTCAGAATAAGACGCGGTCATATTATCGTGTATCGAGAAATAAATGTGTAGGTAATCATCGTCCGCATCTGATGACCTGACCATCTCCAGGAAAGGTCCTTCATCACAATAATATTAGATCATTCAGATAACGGTAATTCGTTAATTCGGCAAAAGCGTAGATGCGTCTATCTACGGTTTTACCGACCCTTGGCTTTCTATGTGTAAAATTTGAAAATATTTAAATTTCTGTAATTAATAAAAATACTTTAGTTAATCTAAATTCCAAATTGAACGCCTAAAAATTACTCCATTTTCCTATTTGCGTCATATATTTAAAAATAAATAATTACGTAAGTTTAGTGTCATTGGTAACGATAGAGATAAAACTTTAAATATAGTTGTAGGTAATTAGTTTTATTGAATGTGAGGATGTTTCACCACTATGATATAAATAAATAAATACATAATTAATAAACAAATAAAAAATAAAAAATAAATTCAATAATTTTTTGTGAAATTAATCCACTACTTTGTTATAATTATTAGACAAAGACCGAATACTTAGAAAAAATTCACATCCATTCGGCTTCGATTCGAACCAAACGTTTCGTAGCAAACCGTACCAGACGCTATGCTAACTAAGCCACGGAATGAACCAACGGACCTCATGAATTTTTCCGTGTGCTTGTTGCAGATTTTTGTTTTGGTTGTTTTTGTTTTTGTTTACGACTTTTTCTGTGGAAAATTTATGAAAGTTTTTCTTCACTCAGCAAAATTTTTACTAAAATTTAATTTTTTGTTTACGCTGTCTACGAAATGTAAAAAGTCCTAGTAGCGCATAGACACAGACACAGGTACTTACACTGAATATTTTTTTCCATAATTCTAATAAGTTAAACTTTCATGGACACTTTCAAAAATAATTAATAAACGTCGCTGCACAGCTTGACATACAAAACTAAGATATGGGGACTATCATAATAACAGCATAAACAAGACAGCTTTTTTTAGTAAATTGTGCTAATTTTGTTCCCATGTAAAGAAAATCGTAAAATCCTAAAAAACTGAAAATTTTGGGTATGTTTTCCTTTAATTATAACAATGTGTGCAATAAAAAAAATACTATACATGACGAAATACTTTCATAGATTTCCCATGTCGTTGAAACCTAAATACAAATAGCCGACAACAAGCACATACAATAAATCGTAGGGTCCGCTGGTTCCTTCTGTGGCTTAGTTAGCACAGCGTCTGGCATGGTTTGCTAGAAGACGTCGGTACGAATACGGCCGGATCAAAGGATTTTTTTCTAAGTGTTCGATCTTTGTATTAATAATTATAACAAACTAGTTTCAAATTTCACAAAAAGTACATGAATATCAATCAAAGAAGTCAATCGTCGAATCCGACTCGGTTTAGAGAAGTTCCGGGATGTCTTCTCGTCCGCAATACCGCAGTCCTTGAATACAAAAGTCTTCGAGCAGCGCGTGTTGCCAGCGATGACCTACGGCTCTGAGACGTGGTCACTTACAATGGGCCTCATAAAAAAGCTCAGAGTCACACAACGAGCTATGGCGCTCTATTGCTCGCTAGCAATGCACGGCATTTCTCTATGTGATCGAATCAGAAATAAAGAGATCCGTAGAAGAACGAAAGTCGTCGACGTAGCTCAAAGCATTAGCAAGTTGAAGTGGCAGTGGGCAGGGCACACATAGCTTGTAGAACTGACGGCCGTTAGGGCAGAAAGGTTCTTGAATGAAGACCACGAACCGGAAGGTGTTCAGTGGGAAGGCTACTACTAGATGGACTGATGAGTTGGTCACGTCGCATCTGACCGGCTACTCTGGCAATTTTTGGGGGTTCTATGTTCAGCAATGGACGTCTTCCGGCTCATATGATGATGATCAAATCTTACAAGGTAAACAGGAGTGAATAGATTTGATCAAAAGATTGGAGTAAATGCTGCCGCTATGTGTTAAAAATAGTAAACAAATTATATATATAGATAGCTTAATAGAAGCACTAAAAGAGAGATTTTATTATATGCAGTGACGGTTCTTCTTGGAATGGCTGGAATTGTGTTCTTCAGGATAAAAAAATAATAGAAACGAAATTCTTGGGTTATTGAGAGTGTTACACTTGGAAAATGAATTTTGGATCGTAATCGCGTATTCTTGTCTCATCAAACAAACCAACGTTTCGGGTCTTCTACAAATCTCATGGGGACAGCCGTAAGCTCATCAATGCATGCACACGAATTGTATTGTGATATCCAACTATCGTTCATTTAACTGTGGTGAATTTGAATTTGTGTCACAGAATATGTACCTCGATCTAATAATAGACAATAAGTGTAACTGGTAACCTCAATGTACGTAAGAAGCTGCGAGCAGTCTTGTCAAAATTTTCCTTGCTGAAACATAAGTTACCTTTCAAAATATAAAGAATGTTATACAATGCACTGGCAGGTTCAATAATTGGATACGGGCTCAGTAGTTATGGTGGAACATACAAAACATACTTCGATGATATTAATAAATTACAAGTAAGACTACTAAAATCTTTTGTGCCAACTTTTGTTTACATACTATACAATCTTAGATATACATAGTAAAATAAATATTTACATAATTTGTGATGAAATAGATAAAATCGCCACGTTAAAACAAACAACACTGTGTAATCTAAACAAGTATAATAAGAAGAAAGATATATCTTTCGGTACATTTCCAAATCCACTTATTATATATTCCATTTCCAATTCGTAAGAAAACTCTTTTTAATTTAATAATTCACATAAATAAGTCATAACACCAAATCTGTAATACACATGCCTGAAAGAATAATAAACAATATACATCAGTCACCGGGCTGCTATTTATATATTATTTGGCTTGTTAACGTTAAATGAGCGCGCCGTCATAAAGAAAAACGCTCAACTTGAAGCCCATTCCCATCAAAATATAAGAGAAAGTATGTAATACTTTTAGCTCCCAGGGAAGTTGTAAATATATATCTTTGCAAAAGTCGACAAGACGACATTCACTTTTTAAGCCAAATCTTGTTGACTGTTCAAGGCCACCTTTACTTATTGTAGCAAGAGAGAAATGTTTAACTTACCTATTTCACTTGAATGAAAAATAAGTGACTTTACATTGAACAAATTTGGTTCAGGCAACAGTAATAGTTATGTTACAAGACAGTTGTTAATATAATATAAAACAAAAGTGGTCCATTTCAAAACAATCACGATTGATGTATATAAATATTAATCACCGCATATTTAAGAGCCTCTGTGGTCAAACGGTTACCATGACTGCCACTCAGAGGTCCCGGGTTCGATTCCCGGGCCGGGAGAAATATTTGTATGGCCTACGTTTATTTCTCTCGTGAGTTTGGGTGTATATTGTGGTTGTCTATGTGTGTGTCCATGACACCCGCGACACAGGGTTTCCCTAGTGCGAGGATATGTTGAGTGTGTGCGTTAAAAAAAATGTTATAGTCTGGTTAATGAAAGGTGAGACTGAAAGACACAAAAATGTAAAAAAAAATCGTATTTTGTTTTTATAACTGCAACTGACGGGACGAATAAATCGTGCGCTTGACGGTAAGCTATACGCCTGTCCATAACAGTTGCAGTGCTATTCAGAGCTTTAAATCGCAAAGATCTAAGAGGCACTGTCACTGCGCCAGTCACCCTGAGACATAAGTTAACATGTCCCATGTGCCTGTAATTTCACCAGCACCCTTACCCTGCAAAACCGGAACGCAGTAATGCTAACATTACTGCTTGGCGGCAGAAATAGATAAGATGGTACGTACGGGTAATTACTTCCCTGGACGAGATCTTTTACAAGGCGCTCTACTGTTGCTGAATAATTGTATTATATCAAAGGTGCACTAAAATAACTTTAAGAAAAAAATATAACTATATAAAATATAACTGTGACTTAATAATTCTAGAAACGAAACAATTTATTCGGCTCTAAATCACCTATATTTGTTTTTTAAACAAGGCACCTGTCAGTAACCATGTATCCCTGTTAATGGCCCGAAATGTTGGTTTATTTAAAAAAACAAATACTATTGCGACTTAAATTTGAGTAATCTCAGTACAGAGTACTAAAAAAACCGACCTCAAAAGTACGTGGAATTACGTCTATTTA